ACTCTTTTCCTAGTCCACTTTAAGAGAAGTGAGGATTAATTATTTCTTTTTAATTTTAATTTTTTCATTGAGTAATATTTTCTAAAATTAATTAAAGTATTAGTAGTCAAATATAGATTTTTAAAGTATCATTAATAAAAATTGTTTTATTATAAAAAATAAATACCTGACTAATATTTTTAAAGAAGAGTGCAAAATGCAATCTAGACAAGTAAAATGGAATCAAGGGAGCAGTTTGAAATCTTCAATGACAGAGGAGAAGGATGTAGACAATCATGTACAACAAAAAATACAAGAGAATGCAATGTTTAGTTCCAATATTATTGACCTCACCATTAAGGTAACTCATATTTACTTATTTTTCTTTATTCTTTTGTTTTCAATTTATGAATCATCTTTAATTAATATTGAAAGACTATAATTAGTTTCTATGACATTTTTCTTTCCCTATATATCTTTTCTACTATCAAATACAAGTTGTAATTATATGACTGATCACTCAATTATTCAATATGCTCGAATTACAAAAGCAAGAGAAAGAGGATGTTAAGAAGAAAATATCTGAAGAACACGATGAAGGCAAATTTAAAAAGAATCAAGAAGACTCTTTCAAGAAGACATTATCTAACAAAGAAAGACGAAAAACTATTCATGGTACGTAATTAATTCTACATCTTACAATTGACTAATATTAATTACTCTTTTCCTTGTCCACTTTAAGAGATTAAGTGAGGATAAATTATTTTTTAAATTTTAATTATTTCATTGAGTAATATTTTCTAAAATTAATTAAAGTATTAGTAGTCAAATATAGATTTTTAAAGTATCATTAATGAGAATTGTTTTATTATAGTAAAATAATTACAATACTAATATTTTAAAGAAGAGTGCAAAATGCAATCTGGACAAGTAAAATGGAATCAAGGGAGCAGTTCGAAATCCTCAATGACAGAGGGGAAGGATGTAGACAATCATGTACAACAAAAAATACGAGAGAATGCAATGTTTAGTTCCAATATTATTGACCTCACCATTAAGGTAACTCATGTCTACATACTTTCCTTTTTCTTTTGTTTTCAATTTATGAATCATCTTTAATTAATATTGAAAGACTATAATTAGTTTCTATGCCATTTTTCTTTTCCTATATATTTTTTTCTACATTCAAAAACAAGTTGTGATTATATGATTGATCACTCAATTATTCAATATGCTCGAATTATGAAAGAAAGAGAAAGAGGATGCCAAGAAGAAAACATTTGAAGAACACAATGAAAGCAAATCTAAAAAGGATCAAGAAGACTCCCTTAAGAAGACATTACCTAACAAAGAAAAACAAAAAACTATTCATGGTACGTAATTAATTTTACATCTTATAACTGACTAATATTAATTATTCTTTTCCTTATCCTTTTTAAGAGATTAAGTGAGGATTACTTATTTATTTTTAATTTTAATTTTGTCATTGAGTAATATTTTCTAAAATTAATTAAAGTATTAGTAGTCAAATATAGATTTTTAAGGCATCATTAGTAAGAGTTGTTTTATTATAATAAAATAAATACTTAACTAATATTTTTTAAAGAAGAGTGCAAAATGCAATCTGGACAAGTAAAATGGAATTCGGGGAGCAGTTTGACATCTTTAATGACAGAGGGGAAGGATTTAGACAATCATCTACAACAAGAAATACGAGAGAATGCAATGTTTAGTTCCGATATTATTGACCTCACCATTAAGGTAACTCATATCACCTATTTTCCTTTTTTCTTTTGTTTTCAATTTATGAATCATCTTTGATATTGAAAGACTATAATTAATTTCTATGCCATTTTCTTTTTTTATATTTTCTTTCTACTCTCAGATACAAGTAATTATATGACTGATCACTCAACTTTTATCGTTAACATATTTCCATCTTCAGCTAGTGGACAAAAATAAAAAGAAAACTTATAAAAAGGTGACACAAAATGAAAAACTTGAAGAAAAGAAGGAAATCAAAAAGCAAAGGGAGCAAAGCGACTTTTTTGAGGAGAAAATACCTCAAAACCAACAACAACAACAACAACAAGAATGTGATATCAATGGTCTTAAATTTTATATCTCATAATTGACTAATTTCATCTTTTTCATCACTTATGAAATGTTTTGAGCCATATGTGTTTCATACCATCTCATTTAGTTATATATAATTTTTAGGTAAGCCTGAGCTCAATAGGGTTACATGTGAAGATAGTCTTTCGGATAATTTTGGTCGTATTTTAAAAGATAGCAATACCAATTATGGTTCAAAACTTTGGAGAAGAGATGAAAAAGATGGAAATTATTGTATCATGAAAGGAATACCGAGAAGTATAAAATTCCGTTCCATCAATAATCTCTATAAGGTAATTCATATAAACCTGATGACTATCTTCTTATGTTAACATTAAGTATTTTCAATGAGCTTCTAGTATATTGTTCAACAATAGTTTGTTCCATCTTTACTTTTGATTCTTAAATATTTGAATAAACAAAAGTTCTTATGCTTGTTTTGATCATCTCATCAAGTTTCTTCACATTTCACAGTGTACTAACAGAATCTCACCAGTTGACGATGAATATACTTGGAATCTTTCAAGTGATGAAGATTCAATCATGATTCTCTCGATAAAAGAAGAGCCAAGTATCATAACAGACGAAGATAATGTTGGTTGTAAGAGAAAATGGAGAGAAAATCAGAAAACCAATGGAGAAAAGGATGCTACAACTTCTTCTACCTAGTTTTAGAAATGCATTTTAATCATTTCTCTAATATTGAATTGTATCAATTTATTTACAATTTTAAATTTAAGTCGCCTTATAAACTCTGTTAATTACTTTTTCAGTTATTCTTTATCATTTACTAATTGCAAAGGTTTTTAAAAATATTCATTAGCAAGAATTGTGTAATAATATCTTAAGGAAAAAAAATCTAGTGAAATTTTAACAAGTAGAATTTGAGGAGGAGAAAATGTGCGCAGACTTTAGAGATACTGTTTCTGAGAAACCCTCAGCTCAAGTAAAGCAAATCAAAGTAGTACTTCAAAGAAAAAAATAGTGGAGAAAAATATGATAACTAATATCAAACAGTGTGGAGCATATATGCAAGGAACTATAACATCAACAACAAGTGCAATCTCCTAAATGTAGAAAACAACGATACCAAAAGCCAAAGACTACATGAATAGGTTAATACTATGATATATATGGTACTTTGTACTGTCATAAAGACACATGCATGAATAGGCTAGTACTAAGACAATGGTCAACTACCTACTAATCTTCTATCCTTATTTGTCTCACCCTATCTAAGTCCTCGATAAGCTGAAGATGGTCCATATCCTGGTAGGAACAATATCTCCCAGAGAGTAAATTTCTTTGATGATTGATGTGAACTTGGATATGCTTATCATATATAGACTCTCCATCCTTCATCCTAAAAAGTTCATATTGTCTATTTGGCATATCAATCTTAAATTTCTTGACCTAATTGGTACTTTCATGAGCCATTTGTGGAGTATCCTAATTTGCTTAACAGTAAAGCACAATGAGATTTGATTGTACTTATTATGGCCAATTCGGCAAATTAGAATTTTCTTGGGTTTGGTATTATCTTGTATAACAAGCTTATTTTCAAGCCATAGGATTTTTTTTCAAGGTTTTAACCTTATGATGAAAAGACATGCTCTGATTCCAATTGAAAGTAATCTCGCATCAACTATTAATCTTAAGGAATCAAGTTCCTTGAGTTCATCTAAATAATAAAGAAAAAAACACATAGTGTTACCGTGGAAAACCTCTTTTTTCAAATGAGTAAAACTCATGACCTACGATACATAGGATGTCCAATCAAACTTCACTACAAAGTACCTCTTGCTTTAAAATCTAATGAAATGTTTCTTGTATTTGGAAATGTGGTAATAAAAAATATGTATATGGCATTTTAGGAATCAGTTGATCATTTAGGGGAATACAAAAAATGACTCGTTCTAGTTGCATTTGTAATTACTCCTAACAAAGAGTAAATTCTTTAGATAGGTGAGAATTTGCCCTATAATATCATTTTTGTTTTTTTAGGACCATAATATTATCAAGCTATGCCTGTTTTCCTCAATGTGGCATGTCATCCTATTAGGAGAGATGAAACAAAATAATATTATAGGGAAAATTTTCAAACATGGTGCCTTATCTATAGAATTTACTCAAAAAGTAAGTGCAGAGATTATTTTCTTTTTTGTTTTTAAAGTAAACATTTTAGGAGGAACAATTTGACTTAGGAAGAAGAAATGAATAAGTGAAATTGTCTTGTAAGTGTTCCCAACTCAATGTAAAAAAAATAAATAGGCGGAATAGTCGAGGAGATCGTTGTACTTATTTTGGATCATTGTTTCTGTCTTTGCACCCTCAACTTTGTCAATTGAACACTTAAATTTGAACAAAATAAAAATTTGAAACATCTCTGATCATCGACTATACTTATGTGGCATATATTTTGTTGATTTAGATGTAATGTGTGGTCTCACTTTTAAAAGCTAGTTGATGCAATGGATTTGGTTTAAATAATTAAATAACACGAAAAACTTTTTTAAAAAAAATCAACAAGAAATCGATATGTATCTATGGAGTGTACATACATAAAGCGCACAGCACTTTTACCCCTCCCTCTTTTTCCACTGCAACTCGCCATACTCTGTTCTGATGGTGTCAAATGGAGGTTACAGATGTTGACGGAGAACTGGCCGTCAATGGTTTGATAATAAGTACAAAGATCTCTCAAACCATTTCGACTAAAAAAGTAAGTAATGTGAATTATCTCCTTAGATGTCATTCCAAAATGAAGAAAGCCTAAAACTACTTCCCCTGTATTTTCAAAAGCCAATTCAAAATTTGTGGATTTTTCAATTTTTGTACATGCTAAAATAAAATTCCCACTCACATTCATTATTCATACATCTAGTTATATTTTTACTCTCATCCTCCTCCACAATCATGTTACGTTAAAGGTTTTCGATACATTTTCAAATGTCATGGATAAAAAAGTTTCGCGAATAAAAGTTCATTCCATGTATCTTGAAGGCCAGGCAAACACCAATGTGTACAATCAGCATAGCTAACAGGGTTTGCTAGTTGCTCTGGTGTTAATGGATTCCATTGCTTCTTGTAAATTGATGTGTGTGCATCTTTCCTATAACTTGATAGTTGTGTTATGTTGAGAAACGTTATGGCCACATCTGATTTACTAAACACTTCTCTTATCACTTGCATTACGTTTTTGCTACAATCTGATCCCCAGTAACTTGAATCTTCTATCATCTTTGTTTCATTATAACAATTTCTGTCTGCTTCCCCTCCCCAATCCATGCTTCTGCCAAATTGACAAAGATATACCGTTATACTTGAATCCAAATTTTACAATATTATGTGATGTTAATTATGACTGCAACATATGCTTAATTTGTTAAACCAACACCAACAATAACAATTACAAGGGTAATATCTACGAAAGGAGTTTAGGGAGGATAGAATGTATGCAAACATTATCTTATATTGAAAGGTAGATAGATTGTTTCTAATAGACCCTCAACTCAAGAAAAAGTACATCAATACAGATGGAAAATGAAATAAGTGAAGTGAAACGATCATGACAAAACAATATTTAGAAAATATTATTAAACATTCTGTAAAAAAGACCGGTAACAATACGTTTCTCAATGCCTTCTTATTTACAAAGATCAATAAAATCTGATTTTAAATACTCTCCACATTTGTGATCTAATCTTCAAACTTAATTTATTTTCAACTTTTACTCTATATGTTTTGAAGTCTCAAATATCTTATCTTTTATTTTTAATATAAAAAGACATACGTATACCTTGATTAATCAATGAAAGTGATAAAATACGGACGGATTTGGCTCATCTCCATTACACCTTCTCTCCATTTTCTCAAGTGCATATTTAGATAAATGACACGCGTCATATTAATAATATAAAGGTCTAGATTAAATTAGGAAACACTCACCAACTTTTTGTTAGAGAACACTCAGGTAAGAAAATAAGGAAAACACTCACCAACTTTGGTAAGAAAATTTTCATCTTCCACTAGTTTTGACTCATTTATATCATCAAGCTAATTATATTTTCTGATTTCTTGTTGATATAATTTTAATTTTATTTAAGAATTTAATCAATTGAAATAAAAATATCCTTAATAAAAAAAAAACATAGAAGATACAAAATATACAAAAATAACTCGAGATAATCTCTAAAAATTTAGTATTAAAAAAAAATTAGATCATATTTTCTAAATTAATTTTAACATATAGCATTATATTTTTTTTATTGTAATCTTGTAAACTACCTTTGACAGAAAAAAAAAAATCTAAGTATTTTATTTAGTAAAAAGATGAGTATTTGGCAAGTAACTTACGCCAAAAATGAAAAGAAATTGGACAGGAAAGAAGATATTGTATAATAGTAATTGTAGAGTTTCTCACAAACTTGATGCTATGAGCAAAGTTTCTCACTAACTTGATGCTATGATTAGAGTTTCAAAATTCTATATGTTTTTTTCTACTACACCATTTTGTTGTGGTGTACAAGTAGTCAATGATTTGAAAAAGAATTCACTATCTAATGGTGCAAGTCCAAAAGACACTATTATTGATGCATATTACTAGATTGATGTCTCTAATTTTTCAAATTAAAATTTCTTAAAACAAGTGGGGAAATGTTAGGAGAATTAATGTTTCAATTAATTTTGAAACAGTTGATCAAATAAAAGTTTTCTGAATTTCAAAAGAAATGAACGCGAATTGAAAATTAATTGTTCACTTAGTTTTTTACGTTTTTGGTTCCTGGAAGATACTTTGTGTAATATTCATGAACCTATTAATAAGTCTTTTTTAATGAAAACTTAATCCGTTCAAAAAAGATTGTCTCATAAATAGTGTTTCTTTTCTTTAAAAAGGCAATCACTTAAAAACACCATCCATTGAAAACATTTGAGAGACATTAATCAAAAGGTGAAATCACCAATTCGAGAATAGAAGAGCAACATTCTTGAATGCTCTACTTGTTTTGTGGCTTAATTGAATCCCTAAGATAGAGTTACTATTTATTCTTCTGTTCGCTCCATGAGAGACTCCAACTATCTATACATGCCTCTAAGTCAAGTAAGTTTTATTTTGAATTCTCTGTACTATTATCATTCTTGTTCTAACAAAAACTACAAGAGAAAAGTACTACGACTACAATTATGAAATGATAAGCGAGACAACATTCTACTACCTACTAACCTTCTATCCTAATTTGCTAGACCAACTGATAACTATTGGATCAATCAAATTGTCTTTTCTATTTTGCTTTTCTAAATCATTTATTCAATCAAACTATATATGATCATCGAATCCTGCATACTTTTCTCCCTTGAAAAATAAGATCAAACAAAGAACAGAGAATAAGGGGAGATGTAAGTATTTGTAATAGATACTCACTTGTAATGAGAAGGTGACATGCTGGTGAAAAATACTCTGCTTTTATTTGAATCCATATTTTTCTTCAACCATCTCACCATACTCTTCATTGTCATGCGATACGCGTCTTCTGTAGACACTTCAACTATGTCTTTCACTTCATCCTTGAAAGACCCTTTTTGCCTGCATCAATTAAACACCGTTATATTCTCACATGTACAACTTCAACACCTAAAAGGAAAAAGAGCAAGTTTGATCCCGAGAAAATTACAAAATCTTGAACGGCATGCCAGTCATCCACCATAAGTAAGTGTTGAACACAATTATGTCAGCTCCTCTCCACTTTTTTCCGTGCTTATTTATTGAACCTTTCCGAACAACTCTATCTGTAATTCTATGTACGATTGCATCATCAGCATTTGATTCCAGCAGAAATGGTGCCCAGTAATATTCGATTCGTGCATTGTAATCCTGGAATATTAAAAGATCGTCATATCAATGTGTTCATAGTATGTATCGTTAAATTGAACGTGCTTGTAAATTGTAAATACCTTAGCAGTGAAAACAGTGAGGGAACCAAAAGTTTCCATGGATTTGGCATTCTCAGGAAGGTGTTGATGAAGAAGGCAAACCATGGAAACAAATTGTCCTCTGTTTAAGGAATCACCAACGAATAACATCCTCTTTCCTCTAAGGCTTTCCAGCATTAGTGTCGCATTGAAACTGCCATTAAAATGTCAAGAAATTAAAGGCACATTGTTATCAAAACTAGTAACCTCATCCCTCATTGTTGTAAGAATTAAGAAATAAATCATACGTTCAATTTTACCTGTCCACTCTCACTTTGCCTTTTTTTTTAAAAAAATAAAAATAATTGATATGAGTATTTTATATAATATCTTGCAAAGTAATTCATGTTCATGCTAATGAAAAAATTATTTGTTTCTTGATATATTTTAAATTAATGGACAAATAAAATTGAACCTCAATCGATGTCTACCGCATTTTGGTAACGGTAGATAGAACAGTTGAACTAAAAAGCAAAATAATTACTACTTTATCCGTTATCAGCCACTAATACAGTTTCGGTCGAATCCTTATAATTTAAAGAGAAACAAATAAACGAGTCCAACTTAATTAATACTACTACTAGTTAATTAATATATAGCGGTGGTGTTTGGATTACTTATACACTCTGTACTTATATTAGTGTCGGACTAAATTTGAATTCACGTTGTTAAGTCTCACATTGGAGATAAAATGCTCTCTATCAAAAACGACTTCGTACACCAACAGAAGGAATACTTACCACTTCATCACAATCCTGATTGGTTACGAGGCAATGTATATTGGTGAGGGCATTAGGAATTGATTTGAGTATTATAGATACCTTGGAATAGAGCAAGAATGAGGTTGCCATCTCCAATATAGATAATCGTTATCTGGGCGGCCATGTTGTTGGCATGTTAACTGTGGTTGTATATAAGGACAATCCTCTGTGTATAACGGCCGGCTCTTGCTGTCCCAAACCCAACTTCCGCTGAAAACGTCGCAGCCTTCTTCTCTCTCTCCAATTGCAAATGCCAACTTCTCCTTCTTCCTCTCTACCACAACAATGAGAAATCGTGTAAGCCAAAGTTATCAAAAGGAACAAAAAAAAATAAAAATTGTGTGTACTCACTGATTATTCTTGAGATGGAATTGTAATTAGAGCCGGAAAGTTTGGGATGAGATTGGGTAAAAATGAAAGAAAAGACTTCACTATAAAGAATAATGATGATAAAAAAGATGATTAAAGCTAATAAAGTTGATAGAAAAGGAGCTTTTCTGTGAAGAGAAGAGGGAGAAGAAGGAGATGACTTCATTTCTCTCTTGAGATTTTTGATGGTTGGTTCGGCTCCCTTTTCATGTGATTTTAGTTTAGGGTTAAAATCGTCTAAATAAGTTTGTTTTTTTAAAAAAATATTTACAAAAATCAAAAACTAAAAATTGAATATTCCCAACTTATTTTTAACTTTTAACTAAAAAAGAGCCCATCAAAACACTCCTGACCTCTAAATTTGAAGGGTCTCATTTCTTAGCAATGATAAACTTATTTTTAAATATATTTATGAAAGTTGTGTACTGCAAGTCTGCAATTCAAAAGTCATTATTTTTTTCTTATTAAATTTCAAACTCTATGTTAAATGAAAATTAGATAAATAAATTAAAAGGAAGAAAATCCTATTATAGAAAAAGTAATTGTTTTTCATATAAAACAAAGATACAACTTTACATCTCAAAATAATCTTTTAAGAAATATATTATCTCCCATGTTAAAAGAAAATTCATGTTTCTATATTTGATATAGGAATTTTTATTAAAATAATAAATTTGAAATCATGTGAGTTGTTTGTGTGAAGTATGGAACATTGTCCTGTTCCTAACCCATGTTTTTATGTGGAGGCTGGAACATTCGTCTTGTTCCGAATAATATCATGTTAGGCGGAGGAAAAGACAAAATATTTGTTTAGTGAGAGTATATATTTTAAAATATATTCACATAATATTTTGTCATAAGTGGTGAATTAAAATTTTAAAATGTTTGGTAAAAATTTCTAGACTTATTATTGATAAAAATAAAATAAAAAGTATTATTAACAAATATACAGGTTTTGAAGGAATTGTTTTCCCAGAGGTTCTATTTCAACAAATGCGGTTGTTATATTACTAAAAAAGAACTAGATAATTGTTACATACAGATAATTTTATTAAAAAACGTAGTGTTATACTTGTTATAAAGGTAAGAATAATGGTGTGTATCAGTCGGTTCGATTTTAAGTATTATCGGTTCAGTTTATCGATTTTTAAATATGCTAAACCGATAACCAAACCAATAAGATATTTTTGTATTGGTTTTCGGTTTATCGATTTTTGTTCTTTAACGGTTCGATTTAACCAATAAGAAAATGCTTTCAAAACAAATATATGACTTGTCCAATAATTTGACGCGAAATAAAAAAGAAAGAAATCAAATTACTCATTGAGTGCAAAATTTCTGCTTAGTGTAGTAAAAGTATATCAAATAGTCACAATTCACAACCGTAGTCGTTGTCTAACCCTTGTCGTCGTTCTTGCAAACCATAGCCATCGCCGTTCTTAGTTCTTTAGGTTTTGACGTAGTGAACCTAAAGACTAAAGTAATACTAAAATCTAAAGGGTAAATGTTGATAGCAAAGTTTAGTAGTTTTAATTGTGTAGGATCCTTATAGCTATTGTCACCCCCCGAGGCTACCCCTTTGAAGTAAACAAGGGACTTAGGATCACGAGTGACTCCAAGCTAACCCTGCTGGCATATCATAAGCATACTAAGATAAACTGAAATGAGAAATACTGTGTGGAAGCTTAAAACATGATATACAATGAAATGGGGAATACCCAATACTATCTGAATATATAAACTGAGTTTAATGACAACTGAAATATCAAACTCTAAGCTAAAATTGAATATAACTATGTCTGAATGAAAGCCTCTAATTGACTAGAGATGCTGCGACATGCCCTCAGCTAACTCTAGTAAAACTGAAATTGAAAGACTGAAAGTAAAATGAAACATGTATATCGTCCTCGAAGAATGAGGACTCACCACTGATACTGCTGAACTGGAGATCGGGAACCGATCTATGCGTGATCTGAGTGCTGAGGACCTAAACCTACATTACGAGAAGATGTAGCGTAGAGTATGCGTCAGTACTTAAAAGGTACTGAGCATGCATGATAGAATAAAGCTGAACAACATATACATAACTAAAATAAAACATACTGATCAATGATGTAAGATGAACATGAAGAATATACTGAACATGAACTAAACTGAATGCAATAACCAATTTCATAACATACTGAAACTGAATACTGAAATATAACTGGTAACCTGGTCAATGCACTAGAATCTGACTTTGGGAGCTACTAATAACCAACATAAAACCACGTGACCTAAATGTGGAGTTTGATGTATCGCCCCATCGAGAGGACCCAATATACCTTGCCAAGGATATAAAGGCATGACTGACATGATCACTAAATTTGATGCCCACAAAGGGGACTTAACCTACGGGGCACGTAGTTCTGGGACTATGAGGGTGACTGACCTTAGTCCAAATCGGTATTAAGCCTACTCTCAATAGAATGTATAAAATACAACATAACTGAAATAACTGGATAGCTCGAGAATTTGACATGCTCACTGAAAATGCAACATTAAGTAATGATAATGAAACATTTGAAAACTGATGCATGTATATCTGTCTAAACTGGACTAGCAAGTGTAATTCATGAACTAAACGAATCAACACATCTACGGTTTTTAATTTCATGCAAGAAATTAAGCAACATTGTTACGAAATCATGATAATTTGATTTGGAGTATTCAAACAGCTAAATTACAATGATTATCTGAAGTTCTAGAAACCCTAGGTCTAACAAATACTTAGGGAATCAAGATTCTGACTGAAATCTAGGGACCTAGTGGATGACAGAAATCCATCAGTGAAATCACACATATCTGGTGACGAATTCCACAGAGAAATCTTTCGATTCGAGGGCTGGAACTGAGGGAAATATTTGCTAGTTCTTGAGGGGTTTGGTCGACGCTTTCTCTTTTATTTTTCTTGGTTTGATCAATTTCTTTGAGAATGAATTGGTTAGGGTAATACTGATTAAGTTACTAGGCATAAACTGACCAAAACGACATAGTTTAGGTGTCCAACGTGTAAGGGAAAAGACCAAACAACTTCTGACTTAAATCTGTCCGGGCCAATCGACGGGCCTAACCGACGGACTGTTGACTGACCTTACCTCGCTGCATCAACACACAACCTAGGCCGACTCTGGATGCATCGCAATAGATCACATAACCGTCTAAACCATCTGGTAGAGTCAAAACAGGAGTTGTAGTCAACCTAGTTTTCAATTCTGAGAAGATCTTCTCACAATCATCTGACCACTGAAACTTAACATTTTTCTGGGTCAACTTAGTCAATGGAGAAGATATGGATGCAACTCCTTACATGAACCTTCTATAATATCCAGGTAAACCCAAGAAACTTCTGATATCTATAGGAGAGGTAGGTCTGGGCCATTGCTTCACTGCCTCTATTTTCTGACAATCCACTCAGATCCCTTCGCTAAACACAATATGCCCAAGGAAAGCAACTAATTGCAACCAAAACTCACATTTGCTGAACTTAGCAAATAACTGGCGATCTTTGAGAGTTTGCAAGACAACCCTCAAATGAGTCGCATGTTCTTCCTCATTCCTAGAGTAAATGAGGATATCATCAATAAAGACGATAACGAACAAGTCCAAATACTACTTGAACTACCTATTCATCAAGTCCAACAAAGTTGCAGGAGCATTGGTTAGTCCAAATGACATAACTACAAATTCATAATGACCATACCGAGTTCTAAAGGCTATTTTCGGAATGTCACTATCTCTGACTCTGAGCTGATGATAACCGAATCTAAGGTCTATAATTGAAAAATGACTAGCACCTTGAAGTTGGTCGAACAGTTCATCAATCCTGGGGATAGGGTACTTATTATTGATTGTGACTTTGTTCAACATGCCGATAGTCAATGCACATCCTGAGAGACTTATCTTTCTTTTTCACGAACAATATTAGTGCACCCCATGGGGAAATACTGGGTCTGATGAAGCCCTTATCTAGAAGGTCTTTCAACTGCTCTTTCAATTTCTTAAGCTCTGCTGGAGCCATTCTGTAAGGAGAAATAAAAATAGGCTGGGTATCTGGAAGGAGATCAATTCCAAAGTCGATTTCCCTTTCGGTAAAAACTCCGGGAATATCTTTTAGAACTGACTCAAGAGTTGGGGTTTCAGAGTTGGAATCCTTAACCCGAACTAGATGATAGAGATACCCCTTGGAAATCATCTTTATGGCCTTAAAGTAGGAAATGAATCGACCATAGGCACTGAGCTACTACCTTTCCATTCTAAGACTGGTTCACTTGGAAATTGAAAAAATGAACGATCCTAGTTCTACAATCAACTGAGGCATAATAGGAATGTAACCAATTCATGCCTAAAATGACATCAAAGTCTACCATTTCTAACTCTAAGATCTGCTGAGGTGATTTTCTGAGAGACTGTGACAGGGCAATTTCTGTATATCCGTCTAGCTATAACTGGGTCACCAACTGGAGTAGAGACTAAGAAGGTTTCTGAGAGAGTTTCTGGACTAACACCGAATTTTACTGCTATATACAGACTTACAAAGGAAAGAGTATACCCTGGATCTAACAAAGCGTAAACATCTAAATGAAAGACTCGCAGCGTACCAGTAACCACATTAGGAGAATCTTCCTGGTCCTGGCGAGCCTGGAGAGCATACAACTTATTCTGGCATTGACTGCTACTTGTACCAGATGTAGTACCCTGCTGAGTCGGGCGACCTACTGGTGCTGCTGAAGCTGTAGACTGAGCCCTACTAGTGTTAACTCCTTGTCCCTATTTAGAAGAAGGGCAATCCCTCAACCTGCGACCAGTCTGACCACACCCAAAACATCCATCCTTCCCTACAAGACACTCGCCCGGATGGTTCTTACCACACTTTGGACAAGTTGGGTAGGTTATGATACCTGAAACACTCCTCTAAGACTTAGAGCCTGATGCCCTACCTTTCTGATCCTGCCGAAACCTGGGGATGGAGCACTAGATGATGAAGATGTTGGAGCTGAAAAGTTCTGCTGAAACTGCGAGCCATTTCCACCACCCAATTTCTGATGAGAGTACTCATAATTCCCTATTCTAGCCTTCTTGTTGTCCTTAGCCTGTTCCCTAAGCTTATCTCTCTCAACCTACTGA